ACATATAGAAAGAAAATAAGCCCATTCAAGGTATCCAGTCACTGTTTATCTCAAGTGGAGTCTTCACATAATTAATTCACTTGTTTCTTGGCCCGTTCTTGCCCAACAGGCTGCTCCTGGAATGTTTCAATGTAACTGGGTCCTGGAGGCAAGGCCCAGAAATGCATACAGGGTTATGTTTGGATGACAGATTTTCAGGTGATTTTTTTCCAAGTTTACTTTCTTACTTACACTTTCCAGTGTTTCCTGTTTTATTTCTAAAAAAAAAAAATACATTTCACTTTTACAACCAATAGCTTAAAGATGAGCTTCAATCCTGTTTTGCCTTTGATTTAATTCTCTTCCCTGCTATAGGAGATGCTTTAATGGATTAAACCTTCCTTCTTCTACCCTCAACTTTTTTTTTTCTTTTGTTGGGAATCAAGTCTCATCATCCACACCAAGAAGCCACTGATCCACACCCCAGGCCTCTTTCTCATTTTCTTATAAATTTAAGGAAGGCATTAATACAGTAACTGATTTCCAATGAGTTGAAAGAGGCTTTTGATCTAGAGAACTCAGGCATTTACAAAGGGAACATGACACAGTTTTCTGTTTTGTCTTAAATTACTAGGCTATTTCAGGCCAAAGTAGAGTATGTCTCTGGAGTAGGCATTATGCTGGTAGTTTTCTGTGTGTTCAGCCAAACTCAAGATGGCTAGATGTAGCACCTGTCATGAAAGACAGAAGGCAATAACCTCTTTTTTTTTCATTTTTTTTATTATTGAGAAAAGGAAGAAAAAAAAACAAGTTTCCACCTCCTCCCAGCCTCCCATTTCCCTCCCCCTCCTCCCACCCTTCTCCCCCTCCTCCCACCCTTCTCCCCTCCTCCCACTCCTCTCCCCCTCCCTCTCCAGTTTATATAAAAAATTACATTGCCAAACTGATTTTTCTATGAAATATTTTGAAGCCCACCCAATCACTGCTTTCCAACCTGATTAGTATAAGCTGTTGTATTGAATGACACATACATACAAACCTACTATTGTTCAAGTTGATTTTTAATATTTATAACTTTGAATAGCTATCGTATTAGCTGTAGACTGTCTGTAAAATTCTTTTGTAAATTTTACAATAGTTTATGTAGTTTTAGTTTTATCATTTATTTGATAATGTTAATATTTAATGTTATCATTAAAGCCTATTTTCTCTTGGAAGAAAAAAAGTAACTTTACCCTAAACGATCTTCATTAAACCAGCTTGTAATTTTTTCTGTTGTGTATTCATGTGTGGTCTCATATTTTTGCCTTAATACCCATGCAGAGTGTAACATCCAATCACAGCTGGGGCTCGTACTTGCCCTTGCAAGCCCACATAGTTAACGGGGCTCTTTGGAGGTAACCTAGAGATGCTTAGATTTGGTCTTCCTACAGATGCTCATTAGGCATCTCTTTCCTGCCTGCCTGTGTGTTAGGTAATGCGAGAATTAAGGGGCCATCAGCCCATAGAAGTGACTAGAGGAAGGCAAGTATACAGAGTATACATGCTCTCATGTGTACTGGGTGCTAGAGAAAATCTTGGCAGATCCTCCCTGAAAACTGCACTGTCACAGAGGCACTAATGCTCCCTGAGAAGTATGCAAAAAGGGTCAGGAAATACTTCCAAGGACAGACGGGAGAAAGGACAAACCTGGTGGAGCGAGCAATCTGAAAAGGCATTGGAACATTAGCCAACATGGTTGTCCACTGGGAGTGGCAGAGAGAGTTTGCATGTATCTAAAGATCAGCGAGTAAATGAGTCTAGTGATGAGGTGAAGCTAGATCAGCAAGTGTCAGTCAAATCCTAGAAGGCATGGCATCATTGCATGAGCAGACAGAAAATGTCCTAGCAGATGTGAATTTAGAATTTACATAGGGATCCCCAAGAGACAGGTATGAGTGGTGTGTTGCTTCCCAGGTGTGGCAGTTTGAATGTAATTGGCCCCGTATGTTCTTGGGAGTGACACTATTAGGTGATGTGGCTTTGTAGAAATAGCTGTAGCCTTGCTGTAGGAATTGTGTCACTTTGGAGGTGGGCTTTGAGGTTTCATATATGCTCAAGCCACACCCAGTGCCTCAGACCACTTCCTATTTCTAGCAGATCAAAAATATAGAACTCTCAGCTCCTTCTCTAGCACCATATCTGCCTGTATACTGCCATGTTCCCCGCCATGATGATAATGAAACTAAACCTCTGAAACCATAAGTCACGCAACTAAGTATTTTTCTTTATAAAAGTTGCTGTGGTTGCTAAGCAGTGGTGGCACAAGCCTTTAATCCCAGCACTCGCGGGAGGCAGAGGTAGGTGGATTTCTGTGAATTTGAGGCCAGCCTGGTCTACAAGAGATAGTTCCAGGACAGGCTCCAGAGCTACAGAGAAACCCTGTCTCAAAAACCCAATGATAGTAGTAGTAGTGTAGTAATAATAATAATAATAATAATTAAAAAAATAAATAAAGGTTGCTGTGTTCATAGTGTCTCTTCACAACAATAGAAACCCTAACCAAGACACCAGGGTAATTGAAGGGTCACAAACAGGATGCTTAGCTTTCATTATTCTAACATCTCTGCCATTAGAGGCACAGTGAGTCTGCCTCTGGGGGCACTGCCTCTGGGGGCACCACAGTCTACTCCTCTTGCCTTCAGAGTCCACTCTCTTGTCCTTTCTATTCACATCCCTCTTTCTTCTGGTAGAGTTCAGGAACATCGCCCAAAGCTCTGGTAGAAACTCAGTTCTAAGGCTATTCACATCCCTCTTTCTTCTGGTAGAGTTCAGGAACATCGCCCAAAGCTCTGGTAGAAACTCAGTTCTAAGGCTGTGATCTTTATGCTGTTGTCCTTAGGATCTCCCCAGAGGGCTCTGTGGAAGCACAAGCACCCACCCAGTGGGTGTGAGTTACATTGCCCATTCTTCATCTCTTTCAAGGCTCTGCTAGCTCTTACTTGACCCAAGATCATCACATCCTTCTTTTCTCTGCTGTCCTATTGTCAGTAGCCCTAGACCCTTCTTTCCTGGGAATAAATCATTTCTCCAGACAACTGCCTAAATACCTCAGGAGGCAGTTCCATCTCAAATTTACTTTTAAAAAAAAGACCATATAGTTGGATGATGGTGGCAAACACCTTCAATCCCAGCACTCAGGGAGGCAGAGGCAGGTGGATCTCTGTGAGTTTGAGGCCAGCCTGGTGGTCTACAGAGTGAGTTCCAGGACAGCAAGAGAAACACAGAGAGAAAACCTGTCTTGAACAACCCCCCACAAACAAAACATATAAATGTGTATATATTTATATGTTTATATCTAAAACAATTGACATCATTATGGTCATTAATATGTTAATATAAAAATTTAATTGACATCATTGTGGCCGTTTCTAAAAATGATAAAGGAAAAACTAGAACAATAAGCATTTATCTTCATATGGAAAGTGGCAGATTTAGGGCATATTTGAGAAGTGGCTGCTAAAGTTTTAAAGTACTCTAGTCAGCACAGGTATAAAGAAGTAAAATATGTGTATGGTTATTTCCCATGCTGCAAGATTTTATTTCATCTCTAAATTGGAACTAGTTTCAACGTCTTGAAAATTTGTACAACTTCAGCTCCAAACAAGATAATTAGCTTCATATAAATATCATTTTGCTCTCAAAAAGACATGTGCCTGATTTCTAACAGAGTTTAGAGATGTACAGGTTTTACACACACACACACACACACACACACACACACACACACACTTTTATGTCAACTTGACCCAAGCTAAAATCATCCGAGAGGAGGGAACCGCAATTAAGAAAAAACGCCTCCATGAGATAGGATTGTAAGCAGGGCTAATTAAGCAGGGCTTAATTAGTAATTGATGGGAAGGCCCAGCCTATTGTGAATGAGTCCATCCCTGGGCTTGTGGTCCTGGGTTCTATAAGAAAGCAGGCTGAGCAAGCCATGAGAATCAAGCCCATAAACAGCACCCCTCCATGGCCTCTGCATCAGCTCCTGCTTCCAGGTTCCTGTCCTATTGGAGTTCCTATCCTGACTTCCTTGAATGATAGACTATATCGTGGAAGTGTAAGCCAAATAAACCCTTTCCTCCCCAGCTTGCTTTTGGTCATGATGTTTCATGCACGCAAACCCCAGGCTGCTGTTTAACACTCATGGAGAGAGGAAGAAGCCTAGTTGGTTTGTGCGTCTCCAAACCCAGAGCAATCACGCTTTATCTATATTCTTGCCCTTATTTTGACCTCTTATACCCTTATTTGTTTTTCCATTTGCATTTTTAAGCAAAGCTTAAATTTGCTTTTTGAAATATGGGAATGTGTACATAAACAAACAAGGAATCTAATTTATCTCCAATATGAGTGCTAAGCATCTGGAATAGGGGTGTTGTGTTCAAAGGCAAATAAACTGAACAACACTTTTGATGAACAGGCCCGTGGCCAGAACTTAAACCACCAGGGTAAAAGGTCTCCAAAGGAAGTTGACCTTGACTATTCCTCAGATGTGTCTGCAGAAGCCATCCAGCCATTCCCAACCAAACCAAACCAAATCAGATTCCCAGGGGAAGCTCCTAAACCAGCACATGACCCTTCCCCTCTTCCCAGGAGGAAAGATCAAAGAAAGGGAGATGGAAGTGGGGGTGAACTGTGCCTTCTCGGTAGAGCAGGTTTCACTAAGTTCTCTGACTGGGCAAAGTCCACAGCCAGGGATGCAGACTGTGCGATAATGGTGTGTGTGTGTGTGTGTGTGTGTGTGTGTGTGTGTGTGTGTGTGCTTTCACTTTCTCTCCACTGCACCCCAGACTCTCTCAGAATCTTTTCTCTCCTCTGGTCCTGAGCAGGATGCTTTCATTTGATCCAATCACTTTTCTCAAGTGTCCCTCTCAGTCTGCACTTCAAGACGTTCCTTCCTCCTTTCCTTTTACCCGGACGGGTCCCCTTCTCGCCGCTTCTTCCAGGAAGCTCCTTCCACTTCCATCTTCTCAGCCCAGACTTCAGTGATGTAGGGTAGTGGCAGCAGGTGGATGCCCAGCAAAAGGTTAGAAAGACCCGGCGCCAGCGGGGCGGGGACAACGTGCCGGCTCGGCCAGCCCCCGGGGCGTTCCCAAAGCTGGGATCTGAGTACGGTGCGGGTCTTCGCCCCCAAGTGGCTGCAGCCCAGGTGCGGCGGGACAAGAGGATGTGCGGCTGGCGGCTGCTGGTGCTGTGGGCGCTGCTCCCCGCGACGGCTGCGGGGAGCTCGGGTCGCTGGTACCCGCACGGCACGGTCCTCGACCCAGAGGGCAAGTACTGGCTTCGCTGGGGCCGCCAGGGTGGACGGCTGGCCTTCCGCCTGGAGGTGCACACGACCGGTTACGTGGGCTTCGGCTTCTCGCCCACGGGGACCATGGCCGCAGCAGACATCGTGGTGGGCGGCGTGGCGCACGGACGGCCCTACCTGCAGGTAAGTTAGCGCTGCGATCTCTCTTGGCTCACCCTGGAAGCGTGGTGCAGGAATGGATGGGTAGTGGAGTCCGCTCAAGTGCGAGGCTGGGACGGGCTCAGCATAGCGAGTCCCTTTAGCCTTCGCTGCCACCTTTTGTCCTGGGGTCACTTGCGCTCGCCCTGGTGTCCCTGCCTGGGCCACTTCCCTCCTCGGAGGACCTTCTCGCATCTTAGTTCCCTACTTAACAGACAACCGCGCGCACCGGCCACACGTTCCCCTCTGCGTCTCAGGAAAAGAAGACCACAGCTTTGGAGACCTAACTGGACAGGTTTTGAGGAAGGGCGGGGTGGACTTGTACATCTTGCTGTTTAGGGTTGGAAATCGCAGAAAGTCTCTAGTGGTTGATTTTGGGCGCCCCAGGAGTAAATGACGGGTCCTGAGGAGCTGCTTAAGGAAGTTTTGTTATTGACAGTTGTTGGGGAAACCATGAGTCTCTCAGTGGAACACCCTATTTCAGGGACAGTTTTTCCATTTTAATAGGCAACAAAGTTCATCTGATTCGCTCGCTGCCCCTTTGCTCTGGGGGACGGGGGTTTATGCTACCTGGTATGAACATCTTTATGTATGGAAAAATGTGTGTGAAATGTCATGAATGACTCTGTAGTTCAGTTTCCTGGATGCTAATACCCCTTCTCTACTGACCAACTTTTGGGTCATAGTGAACAGATACACTTTGTTAAGGGCCAACTTCCGTCCAGTAATACTTCCCTAAGCATCATGAAACCTCGCAGCTCTGAGATTGTCTCACCCTGGGCCACATGAAAATGCCCTACGTGGATTTCAACGTGTACGGCTGAGAGATTTCTTCCTATGTCTAAGCTGGGTTTTCACATTATTCTGGTGGGAGTGCCCTTACATTTTAGCTTCAATTCTGACCCTGATTTTGGCTAGAAATAAAGTGACAACAATTCAGATTTCCAAACTTCTCCACCGTATCTTTACTTATCCCAAATCCATCTCTTCCTCTCCATGTAAGTCCCACGCAATCCTGCCAGAATAAGGCTTGATGAGGTTCACAGTGCGGACTTCCCCACGTGTGGATTTTCTGGTGCTGCATCATTTCAGATATGAAATTTGACGGCTAAGAATTTCATCCCAGGCACGGACCTTACTAGTCAACTGGCTTAGTCCCCCGTGATCTGAGGTAGATACTGCCTCATTTTCATTTCGTATTTCCATACCTATTGCAGCAAAGATTTTTTAAAAGCTGTTTTTGTAGAGTATCATGCCCCTGATATAGACATGGGCGTAAGGCATCTTGCTTTGTAGTAGCAACAGGGCACACTTTGAAAGTTGACCCAATATGATGTTTGGCAAAAGAGCAGAGTTTCTAGAAAGCCCACACAATTAGATAGCAAATGAAAGTCAGAGGCAAGAATCCTGATCCAACTCCAGCACGGGCCCATCACAAACATCTTGCTAAACCACAGAATATTTCCATCTTGTGGGTGGTTATCCTAAGATTGTGTAAGAATTAAGCATTCTTCAGATTGATTTCGAAACTTTGAATTTTTTTTTTTAGTCAACAGGAATATACTACTGTGAGATAAATTAAAAATGGGCAGTGCATATGTAATGAACAAGAAACAGCATTTTTCTGCTTGCTGTTGGTCCAGAAGTGCTGCTCTGTGTTTTCATATCTAAGGACTACTCAGTTTCTCATTTGGCTGATAGACTTTACCAATCTGTTTCCTTAGAGTGCCTACTGATTTTTAGGGCATATGTTATTTAATTAGTTAACTGGCAAGAAAGCCTATTCCAAACCTCTTTATTATGGTAAACAGGAATAATATTGAATAACATTAACAAAAAGAAATTTTTTTATTATAGTTGGTAGTGCAGGGTGGGAGATTTCATTTTAAAGTACTTGAAATGGACTGTTCTCCCTAGATGTTGACTTGAGATTTCTCATACAGTGGTATAATAAGGGCATCTTAAGTGACTATACCCAAACCAGAGTGCTTCCTCACTCAAGTGTGTTTGATTTTATTAGTAGACATTGGGTTTTATGTAATTTTTGCTTTCAGACTTTGCATGGAACAATGACACAAAAAGCTCTGGTTCCTAGGGCATTAGTGTATGACGGCAGGCACAAATAGTTAACAATGGCATCCGGCTGTGTGATTTAACCTAAGTTGACATCACGGTCGTTTCATTTATGGTTTCCCCTTTTATTTTAGCCTTTTCAATTTTAAACTTAAACTTCTGATTTCTTAATGTTTTGATTTTGATTTTTTAAAAAATATCTATAAATGTGTCTTTGCAGATGGGTGTTGACTCTGGTATGACTAAGTAATTCCTAACCAACGAGGCAGGGGATTTTTGGTCTAGTAGATCCCACAAACCCGAATGCCTGGAGTAATCTAAACGTAGCGCATGCTTGAGGAGAATAGGTGGGAGGCAGCAACAACTGGAGGATGCTAGAAGGCCAGAGGCTTTGAGAGTTATCTTTCCAGGGGAGTACAAATCCAGTACTGCCAGATTGTCTGTCTGTCTGTCTGTTTGTTTTGTTTTTAGAGAGAAGGTAGAAATTCAGTGCGTTTGTGTATGTGTGTGTATGTGTGAGTGTGTGTGTGTGTGTACTTCTGACTCATCAATACTGCTTCCCACTCAAGCCTACACACAGCACTGTGTACAAAGTGCACATACATGTACTCAGCTGGGGTCTATCTTACAGATGATGTAATCTTAGACCACGAAGGAAAACAGCTAAGTTAGACAAATTATCAACAGAAATTATGAAAATCCATAGGAGGAAGAAAGGCAAGTCCAATTTCCATCAGAGTGTTTATTTTGTGCCAGGAAGTGATTTCAGTATCTGGAGTCTTGGCCATTATTTGGTCTATTTATCTTTATGTTAAAAATAAAAAACACCCCCAAACACAGTAGTTTAGCAGGATCACCATTATTTGGCTCAAAGATAAGTAATTTGAGCAGGGCTTGGTGGGAACAGCTGCTCTTCTCCGCTGTGTCGACTCTCAGACATGTGGTTAGGAGGATCTGCAGGCTTACTCACCTTATGCCTGTCTGGGGTTGAGGCTGACTGCTGGCTGGGGCCTCACTCCGTCAGTTCTGTGGTGTGACAGTGGCCTCTCCACGAGGCTCTTTAGTTTCCTCACGGCATAGGGGCCCGTCTCAGCTTCGACATCTCCAGGCACCCACATAGAAACTGGGTATGTACAGCCTTCTATGACTCTGTGCTGTTGCCATAGGCTCACAGAGTCAGAAAAGAGCATGGACCCCACCTTTTCTTGATAAGGGAATATATTCGGGTGTCCATTTTGGTAAAATGGGTTCTACCAAGCCTATCCCCATCCACCATGCCTCCTATTGCCACTGCCACTTTAGACACTTAAGTGTACATACCCGTTCCATTTTGACATTATTTACATCAGGAGACAAGGTTCATTCATTGACAATTCCTTCTGTTCATTGTGTTCACTTCACTCCCCACCTCCAATCGCCAGGAATTGGTAAACTGTGGTAATTTCCCCACTTCCCTGTTTAACCACTCAGTTTCCTCTCTGTGTACCTACTCCCAGTTGTTGTTGTTTGCTTGTTTGTTTGTTTCTATGGTTACCCATCATTTATACAGCTTAGAGCCAAAGGGACGGCCTGTAGATGAGAGGGTGGCATTTTCTGGCTAGCCTACAGAGATTAAAATTAAATGAACAAAAACCAAAATTTGGATTCCTATGAGTCAGCAAAGCAACAGGCTTAATAACTCTTAAAACTATACCTGAGACTCAGCATGGAGGCACACATCTGTAATTCCATCACCAGAGGGGCTGAGGCAGGAGGATCTCAAGGCTGAAACCAGTCTGGGATGCATTCGATGCTGTTTCCAAACAAACAAACAAACAAAAGAATGAACAACACCTAAACCAAGACACCTGTTAGTTATGGGAATTCACTCTGCCATTTTCTGACCCTCTGAGGTATTGTCATTTGTATTTGATCAGCTACAATCAAAATGGGGATGAAAGGAAGGAAGAATTGCTGTGGAGGGAAGCCTGCCTCTGGGAAATCTTCAAGCTGAAGCATAGGAAGGATGAGCTGGGAAGTTTACACTCCTGGAAATGGCCCCTGTGGGGTGCTGGGCAGGTCATTTTCTGTTCTGTCTTTCACAGCAGGACCCAGGCTGGGTGGGAAACACTCTGTCCTTTCCTGCTGGTGTCTCAGTGCCACAGTGTTTTGTCTCCTTGAACCAGCCCAACTCTCATTTTCTCCGATGGATTCCTATCCTTCTCTTGTGCTTTGCCCCTTTGACACAACAGCTCCACCCCCCTCCAAACCATTTAGCAACTGTGAGTGCCCCTTGGAAGCCAGCAATCTAGCTGATGAATGCCCAGTTTGTGTGAGCGAGACAAGAGAGCATCATTGTCGGATGTGCTCTTGATTTGCACAAAAATGGACTCACCCTTCCTAAAGGGGTGGACATCACCAGTGAATGGAGCCCGACACATATGTCATCACTTGTGGTAGCCTTGCTTGTTGGCCCATTCAAACACTGAGGACCTTCTGTGCAGAGCAGTGTCTTGAGCATCTGGGTAATTGCTGCCGGGCCCCTCCCCAGGAAGTGCCTGCGAATGATCTGAAATCACAGAAAACAGTAAGCATTCTTTGTGGTTAGCGATGTGCTTCTTTTTAAGCTCACGCCAGCCAACTGCAACAAAGCAACATTGGCAAAGCAAACTGGAAGTGCGCAAGCCTGACACAGCTCAGCTGCAGCTTCATTAAGAGATATTTATATAATCTTGGTAGGCTGCTTCCCGATTACCAGATGAGGAAGGGACCTTTCCACGCTGCTTATTGCTCTGGGCATTATGAACGAGGACACACATCCCACTGTTCAAATACAACATGATGGACCTCAACGGGAAGCTGTGTACAGAATTCTAGCAACAACAGAAGAAAATTTCATGATTAGCCTGGGGAAACGAGTCGATCTCACTGCT